AGTTGATGACGTCATAGGATCTCAAGATGAAAAAAATAAAATAAAAAATAAGACCATAAAAAAACGTAATTTATTATTTCCAAAAAAAAAGATCAACAAAACATTGGAAGCATGTATTATGCTCCTACCATTTATCATACTGCAAATAAGTCAGTGGAAAACCAAAACCATTAGTTTTATTATTAAGCTGCAAAAGTGAAAGAAACATGTGGCACGTAAAAAACAAAACTAAAAACAGTAGAGCTGTCGACCACCTCGCACCACCAGCAGCTGTGGTGCGCATTAGGTTTAGTTTTAGAGATTAACATTTTTATAGGGTTTTTTTATAGGGTTAGAGATTAATATTTTTTGCTTTTATTTTGTGAAACAAGGTCAAAAGGAAGCTGGTTCTGGTTCGGTCATTGGACCCAGTATTGCACCAAATTCTGTGACCTGCAACAGTGCATGCAACACCGCCCCCTACGGTCACAATATACAGTGGTCACAGAATATGGTGTAACACCGGTTCGCAATGAGCTCCAAACAGTCAAGAAGTTGATTGATTTTCTGTTTCCTTACGGTAGTTGAACCGGAAGATTAATCTTTAGTGAATTATTTCCATACTATTGATGCATTTCTACCTGTTTGCCAAGACTGGGCCTGCTCCAATCAGTCCATCTGCTGGGAGGAATCCATTTGGTAGCTTCTACTAGTAGCCCGATGCGGATCACGTGACACATGACGCAATGATGTAATTGCAACGTAATGATGTCACTGCGAATACTTGATGTGAAATTTAAAAACTCAATAGATGTCCTAGGAATCAACCTGTCGATTACTCAAGTAGTCTGTTAAAGCCCTAGTCGAAACACCCCTTGAAGCTGAGGTAAACTTCTGAGGTTGTCTCAAAATTTCAACACCTTCAAAACACTTTGCTAAACAAACTCAACAATTTTACCAGTCTTCATACTTGTGCTGTCACACAATGATCACTCAAAACGTTAGTGAATACACCTGTACCAGGGAATTTGTGAGGCATATTTGTTAGAAACAGGTCTAAGATGGAGGACTTTTCAGGACGGTTTTTGTTTGGTATAGTCGGAGAGTCAATGAGTTGGGTTAGATTGAGAGACAGACAACATTCCTTGAATTTATCACAGACGGGGGTCGACTTATCCCAGCCAATGTTGAAATATCCAGCCAAAAAGATCTCTTTGAATTTTTAATTACCACGAAATTCCATCAGGGAGGACAGAGCCTCAGGTGTTGCTGAAGGGGGACGATAACAACCCACTACAGATAATATCTGGCCTTCATTCAAAGTGATGTTTACAGCTAAGGCATCAATTTGGTTAGGAATTGTTTTAGAAGACACAAGACTAGCAACCAGAGAATCTCTGATGTAAATTGCGACTCCACCCTCCCTTTTTTGACGATCACAGCGGTAGATGTTAAATCCATTGATTACCATGTACAGTACAGATTTGTTGAGCCAAGTTTCAGAGATGAACATTACATCTGTCCTAGAAGAACTTACCAGAATTTTCAAGGCATCAAGTTTTCTCAGAATGCTATGTACGTTTACATGCAGAAAATGAAACCCAGACACGTTCTTAAAGCCATTTGGTGTGCTGTAATTAGTGGGGGGTCCAGGGTTGGGCTGAATCCCTGAGAGCAGTAACAACATTATTATCAGACATTTTCTTGAGTTTTTCATGACTGATGTGTAATTACAGGAGTGAACAGTGTGACAATTAGCCCCCATAATCGAACCATGAGAAACATTAATGAAGACGTGATCATTCAGAACCCAAAACAGTGAAAGTTGCAGTGATGGGCAGATCCAGGTATATTAACAAGATTCAGTGACTCCAGATAGTCTGAGATCTAAAAATAGTGACAATAATATGAATAGTGCAGTAAAGTCTCAGACCATAAAGTGTCACAATTCAAATGGGCAAACAAACCCGACGAGATGGCCCAACTGCTGCTTGAGTTGGGCTGAGGGGGGCTCCAGCACCCCTGTGAAGATGGATGCTCCCATGAGAAACATAAGCTGGGTCCAGAACCAACAGGCAGAAACAGATAATTTGCAGCAAATAGCAGAGCGAGCTGCCAGAAAATCCTCCTGAAATGAAAGGCACGGTCCTAGCTCGTTTCAGGTCAACAGTGGATCCAAAATAAAAATAATTATTATCCAGGTGAGTTTGGATGGAGGCCTGCAGCAACTCCGATGCAAACTCCGAACTTCTCTCGAGCACCATGCAGCGCTGCTCCTTCACGCTGCTCCTCCGCTTCTCTGCACATCACCCCCGCACCCGACAGCACGAGAGGGCACCCCCGGTGAAAAACGAGACTGACCTGAGGCTTAAGTCGTCACTGGTCCGGTCTGGTTCTGCTCCAGTCCAGCGCTCCACAGCACGAGAGACGAAGAGGCTGAAGTCGTCACTGATCCGATTCTGCTCGGTCCGGTTCCGGCGGCGCTTCAAAGCATCGGAGCTTCTCCTCCAGGCGAACACAGCGATTCCACGGAGGTGGACAGTCCTTGGTTAAAAGTAACGGGCTGCTCACTGAGGCTGAGACCGGCTCTGTTGAAGACGAAGTCCCCCACAGCCAACTCTGTTCGGTTCTTGTCCAGTTCGGGGGACACAGGTACGCTTCCCCCACACCAATGAAGACACCACGAGGGCCAGTCCAGCAGAAAACCATCAAAATATCACCCGGCGATTTTCGTCGGAACCAGGTAGAACCACAAAGTTCCAGATGAGAAGTTTGTTGGGGTCCAGAGAGAGAGAGAGAAAAAACACCGGACCTTCGTGCAACGACTCCTCAGCTCGAGGGGTCACCTGGCCGGCAGGGTGCGCTCAGAGTGACCGGTGGGGTGGGAGCAGCCGGTCCTGGACCAAAATATATTTTTGGACGGTCCCGTCCGGCTCTCTGAGTCACTGAACACCGAATTCGGTTGGAAGTCCCAGCGTCCAAACTGTCTTTTGGTGAGGTCTAGGCAGGACAGGTGGTAAGCTTTGGTGCAGGTCTTCTTGCCGCACAGAACCAGCTGACCTCCATCTCTGCAGCGGAAACACTCGTCCTTAGACTTCTTCTTTCATTCACTTTTTCTCCTCTTATACTTCCTCTTTAATCTTTTTGCTTTTTGCTCGGCTGTTTGCCCGTTTGTTATTGTTGTCTGTACTTTATATGTTCAGTCTGGAACAGGTCTGTGTTGTAAATGAGATTGGTCATTTCACCATTCTCTTCATCGTCCTCATCAACATTAATCTTTGAAGAGCTGGAACTGTCTTTGTTTGTTTTTAAATCTGGGTTCTTGGTAAGTTTTTTTTTTTTTTATCATTCTTTAAAGGAACTGTAGTGACCAAAAACCTGATATCTGTCTCCTCCATACCGTGTTGGTCTCCCACCAGACTGCTCCAAGGGTCTTCTCTTCCACTCTATGATAAGACACTCTGGGTCCTGCTGGTCCACATCAGGTCTTCAGTCTTGAGTAACTTCTTCTTTTAATCAGTACCAAACATTGGCAGGAACCATTGTTAGAGGAAAAATGTGTGGTTGGTGGTGGTCTGACATGTAGCTCCTGCTCTCTCCACGAGCAATAAGCTGCAGCATTACAAGCAGTGTTGCCAGGTGTACGATAATTATCGTATTTGTACGACAATTTTGCCCTCTGTACGATCAGTAATCCCAAAAAAGGCCAAATATACGATAATTTGACCATTCCGTGAATGTGTGGTTGTAATCAGTTGTCATCAGCCTGTTGCAACTATCTGTTGGAATTTTTTTGTGAACCCTGAAGGCATCTGTGTCCATAAACAGATGCATGATTGGCTGGAAATTCAGCCAATCGTTCTTTTCTAAACGTTACCTATGAGTGACGTGTATGTGTTTACCTGAGGACAACGGCCATGATTGGCTGAATAGTCCGCTGCGCCCGCCCCATGAGTGCGGAAAAGAAAAAAAAGAAAAGAAGAAGAAGCAGAGCCGGTCTGGAAGCGGACCCATCACTACTGGAAGCAGACCCGTCACTACTGGAAGCAGACCCGTCACTACTGGAAGCAGACCTTTCACTACTGGAAGCAGACCCATCACTACTATAGTGCATAAATAGATTTGTTATTTTGGTTATGACGGGTGTACGATAATTTCCCTCAAAATACGATAATTTTATGTCTAGTACGATAATCCTACATTTCTCACCTGGCAACACTGGTTACAACTACAAGCCACTGGCAGCAGAAACTTGGAACAAAATCACATCATAAACTATTTGACTCACGAGAAGTCTTTTTTGCGTAGTAATTGAAAGAAATCACGGAGCTAAATCCATAGTAGCTACTCTGATATCAGGCTGCAATAGGGAGGGATTAAGAGGTGTGTCTTTGTAGAGGTCCGAGAGTCACAGGTTCAAGTCTGATGCATATCCACAGAGCAGGAAGAAATAGCTGAAATTCTTAAATTTAGAAAAAGGACCCTGTTTGTTTTAATAATTGACGTTTTTGCTTTTGCCCTACTTGAGCCTAAATGGTGAAAAGCAGTAAGTTAGCCAGGGTCACCTTTATTTCCATTAGTCTTTGTATTTATTTAGTTTGGTCACCTTTCAGGCTTTCTTTTGGTTTTAGTTAAATATTTACCGGCTGTTAAATTGGTTCATGGTCTCATCTCATAATGTTTCTTGTGAGCAATGTGAACTTAACTCCATGTCGACTTAATGCTGTTAAATCAGCATTAGACGGTGCTGCTTTGTTACTACCGGTATTTACTACTTTAAAATGTGTTCTGTCACACAGCCTGCAATGATGCTAAAACATATAACGGCAGTGCTTGCACAGTTCCACATAGCAGCATAAATGTGTAAGAAACGTTGGTTCTTTGTTGGATTACTAAAGAACAGCATGTGAACAGCAAATGACAATTTTTTTGTCTTAAGTCAAACAAAATTAATGCTGCACCTGTGGCCTTCTGCATAATGAGATTTTTTTTTTGTTTTCTTTTTTTTTGTTGTTTTACAGAGAATGTGGTCCATTTGATGACAGTTCCACAGCATCCAGTGTTTGAGATTGGAACCAACTTCACGGCTACATGTGTGATCACGAACACCACTGAAGTCACTGCAGATGATCTCTACTGGAACATGTCAAAGACTCGTGTTCCCAAAGAACACTATACAAAGATCAACTCAACAGCACTTGCTATCACTGTCCCCATCACAAGTGAAAAATCTGAGTGGTTATTTTGTCACAGCAAGGAAACGTCTCCCTATGTCACCCTGAACAAAAGCAGATTCATTCATGGGATTTGGCTCAAAACAGGCTGTAAGTTTTTATACTTTTGTTGTATGAATTGAAATGTTTCTGTAAAGTGCCCTGAGACAACTTTGTTGTGATTTGGCGCTATATAAATAAACTGAATTGAATTGAATTATACTTTGACTTTAAAAATCATCATTTTTGTCTATAACCCTTTATAGTGAAGTTTGAAGTAGGATGTTTGTTACATGTTAATGTAGCCAAGCCCTTTTTTTTCATTAGATGTAGGAGTACAACTTAGACTTGTCATGATTCGCTTCGTACCTTGGTTTTGAAGATCACAGTTCAATATGGTTCATCAAGAAAAAGAAACAAATGCTATTTAATAATATATATTTGTTTTTTATTAATAGACAATGCCTCTTTCAGAATCTGTAATCACAGTAAACAAATTGATTAGCTTTTTATTTTTTAATCTTGATGTGACTCTCTTCCTTAAACCTGCTCTCAGTGTAGGAGAGAGTTGCAGGACCATCAGCTAAAGGAGTCAACATTGAGAAATTCAAGAATTTTTTGAACAAACACTGCTGCTTGTTCCTTTTCTCCTCTTTCTTTACAAATGTGGTGCTGGGGGAATTTTCTGTCAATGTGTCGGCGACACAATTGCTGCAGCTGAAAAAATGAGCTACTTCTTGGGTATCTCAGAACCAGTAACGAACTTGGGCACTGTCTTTGTGTACCCTCCTTGTTCTAGACTTAACGTAGAGGAGAGTGGTGGCGCAGAGGTTAAAGAAGGTGGGCCTGTGATCGGAAGATCGCCGGTTCAACTCCTGGTACCAACAACATCAAAATGTGGGTGGGATTGGTGAAGCACCCACACCTGCCTCCACCCTCATTACCCCACTCTTGGCCCTTGAGCAAGGCCCTTAACCTCCACCATCTGCTCTTCCAGACGCCCTAGATAGCAGCTCTCTGCTCCACACAGACGGCTGTGGTAGCTCGGTGGTCTGTGGTTGTCAGGAAGGACATCCGGCGTAAAAATAATTGCCTCATCTTCGTGCAGCTTAGTTTGCTGTGGTGACCCCTGAAGAAGGGAGCAGCCGAAAGAAGAAAAAATGTCTGAACAGTTTATCTCTAATAAGATATCTTTTTGTGTGCCTCGCTGTTAGACCGTCCAGAGAGACCAATGAATCTGACCTGTGTAGCGCTACAGGAAAACGATTCCATCTCTCCATCAATCATCTGTAAATGGGAAGCGGTTGGACGTCAAACCACAGAGGTCCGAACAACTTTTACAGCATTTGTTAAAGACATCTTGTCGTGAGTACACTGCTATACATTTCATCTTATTTTAAAACCATTGTACCTTTGACCCCAGCGTCTAGAAGGAATTCACAACATCCACAGCCTTTAATGCAGATATTTTAGACTTAAGATCATTTTATGTTGAGCAATGTGTAATAGCCATTTTTTTGTCACACAAGGAAAGTTGGAGCATTCATGCAACGTTGCGATATCTTACGTGATCTATTAGGGCTTGGAGTATGTGTTGTGAATGATTGTCAGCTAAATTTTAGCCCAATAGCTGTAACATTTACTGAAGTTTTGCCTATTCTTGGATAGGTTACGGTTTATTAGTTTGGGCTGGCATCTTGTTTTGGGTTTTAGGTCCAAAAGTTGTTGATCTACATTCATTTATAACTTTCTAAAAGTTTAATCACATTCATACAGTGGTTCATGAGATATTCAGACTTGATTCCAACAGTCGTGCAGAAGTTTTAAATACAGATCTTGTGGGATCAGCTAGCACTCAAGATATAAGTTGGGGATTGGTCTCAGCTATTACTGTGCCAACACATAGCTCAATATTTTTAAATGAATGCATGTTTTGTGTTTTTAAGGTCAGTTGGTTGTGGCTGTACTCTTCTAATTGGGATTGTCTCGAAAAGTTAATCAGGTGTAGATTTCAACCCAGTGATTACTTCTAAAAGTTTCATCACAGTCTGTTTAGTGGTTCATGAGATATTATGCTAATGCTACAGACAAACAAACACTCAAAGATATGGGCAAAAGCGTTATCACTGCCTTTGCTTTCGGTGGCCGCTAATAATAAAAAAATAAAATAAACTGGTCCATATCTGCCTGTCTTCAGTTCATAAATGTGGTCACATAATGGTGTGCTTGCTGGTGGCTTGGCCAATCCAATTAAACTGCAGGTGAAAATTTGGCTTTTTTTTTCTCACATATTTGAGCCACCAAATAGTCTCAGCCCAGTGGGATACTACCCTTAGCTGGAAATCTTGCTTTAGAGTAATAAATTCATGTTTGAGTCACGTTACATTAAAATCACTGTAATGAAAACGGAGTAATTTGTTTGATCATTGAGTGAGAACGTTTAAGTTGGTTTGTAACCAGATATCATATTTTCTGCTCTACAAGTCGCATCAGTCCAAATATGTCTAATAAAGTGGAACAAACATAAATAAGTTGCTTCGCTGTATACGTTGCATCTATTATGCGTCTCCGCTGACGCGTTGCGTTCGTTACTCGTCACCACTGACAGCCCAGAAATGTGGGCGGTGTTGTGCCAAAAATCGTTCACCAAATGATGGCTGCGGGAGCGTGCACAGGAGGACTTTTAGCAAGACTTGAACAAGATTAACACTTAAAAACAATTATTTGCTTACTAGGGTGTAACGGTACGCTAAAATCACATTTCGGTTCAGTTTCAAGGAGGGCTCGGTTAATTTTCGGTACAAAAAAAAGACAAACTAAAGACTTACAAAACGTTTATTTTGAAACTATGCCAAGTAAACAATATGTTTGTATAAAAATAAATAAAAGCGACCCATTTGGATAATATTTTAAATAAACGGCACTCTTTACAATAAATAAACTATACTAACAATAATAAAAATCTTAATAAATACAGTAACAGTCAGAACCAGAACAATAAGCAGCAACAGACTGTTTACAATCTAACTAATCAAGTTTTAAGTTTTTTGTCCAAAAAGACCAACTTGTCCACATTTTCTGCCAAAAGCACAGATGTAGTTGCAGTGAATATCTCCAGAGGTGGAGAAAACGGCTCACCAACAACAGTAGCAGGAATAAAAAGGTAGAGCTTTGTTAATGTTGCAGTGTGGCTGTATTTGACCTCATTACTCACAACCTCTTGGACCTGCTCCCCCAGGTGGGACAGGTCCCTGGAAGAGTTCAGAGTTCACTCATCACACACTTCTTTGCTGGAGGTGATGTGGTGGATTTCCCTGAACAGGAAGACTCAGCTGCTATCTCTGTCCCAGACTGGAAATAAAACACAAATAGGTAAAAAAAATTTAGTTAATGAAATTATAATTTTAAAGTAAAAAAAAAAGTTAATTGGGTAATAATAATAAAATAACAATACCTCTTCTTGAACAGTTGTTATGAGGTGGTTGAACCTCTCGGTCATCATCATCATCAGGGCTTTAATCTGGTCCAGGGCTTGTTGACAATATCAGTTTTAGCTTTTTCATAAAGTGCTGCTACAACTTTTTGGCTGAAATGATGTGATGTCGTAGCGAGGCTCAATAACTTTAAAGCCGGCGCATCAACAACATTCGAACGTAGATCCAGAGCTTTAAAAACTCCTACATTTTGTGTCATTGCTCTGGACCGATCTGCATAACCTGATAAAAGTTGTTTAAATGCTGCTGTTATCGGTGTTTGCACCAAGCTGCTATTCTGTAGAAGAGACGTTCACGTTCGGATGATGTCATTTCAAGTGCGTTAACAAGTTTGTTGCCTGCTGCAGATCTACTCTCCGTGAAACAACGTCGACACACAGCTTTGGATTTGTTCTCTTGTCTTTTAACAAGAAAGCCATAATGTTCCCAAACAGGAGACTGCAACGACATGCTAGAATGCTAATGCTGTGCGTGCTGCAAGATAATAGTGCCGTGCTGAACTTTAGTTCCGCTGCGCATAATCTCTCGTTAATAAAATTTAATGAGTGAAAAAATAACCGAAACGGTACGCACGTGGACCGAACCCAACGTGCGTACCGAAACAGTTCTACACCCACATGTACCGTTGCACCCCTACTGCTTACTCAAAGTTATAGCAAAGGTGTGTTTCAGTTTTATTTTTCCTTTATAAATGCACTTTGATGGTCAAATCAACTGTATTTCAAAAGCCGATTTGCAAAAGTGGAAGCGCGCAGATGGACGCCTCGCTGTGCATTCCTTTGAAATTTAACAAGATAACCACCTAAAAATAATTATTAGTTTGCTTGACATTATAACAAAGGTGTGTCTCAGTTTAACCTTTACTTAATAAATGCACTTCAGTGGTCAAATTGGCTGCATTTCACCAGGGCGGCGCAGGAAAATGAAGTTGATTTCACGGTTGCACCAGGCATGATGGTGGCTCTTTATGGCTGGCTGATTGTGTCATTAATAACCACTTTTACCTATTACTAGGACTGGACAATAAATCAATATCGATTATATGTCACAATATACTTTTATTCAATAACAGTGAAATGAGTTTTAAGCACATTTTAGATATTTCGATTTGATTACAGTGTTTCACTGAAGCATTGCTTTTTCTGTTCGTGTTGAAGCGGCCGTTTCATTTTCAACCCGAACAGAAAAAGGTGTGGCACAACTACGTAAGTGCGTGGTGACGTAGATGTTACGCAGAGCTCGAGTCCAGAAGGAGTTAGCGGTAGCAGACTAGGCTAATCTCCAACGCACGTTAAGTTTTCACTTCAAAATGAGTTCCCATGACAATCAGAATGTGACTGAAGAAGCTTTCACAAGTGAAGAGAAAGCAGCCAAAAATTGGTTTTATAAATATGGTAAAAAATCCATAAAAATGTCGCTTCAGCCCATAAGTCGCAGGGCATGTAAATTGTGCAAAAAACTGTAACTTATAGGCCAAAAAGTACAATATGCAGATCTGTGTTACAGTACTTGATGCATTCTTCTAAATTATTTGCAAATTTCTTTTCAGTGGTGAAACATTTAACGCATCAACAATTCAGAATAATGTCCAAGTGACTCTAAAACTTTTCCCCAACTTTATGCCTCTGGATGTCTGGGTGGAGGCTCGTAATCTACTGGGAGCAGAAGAGTCTGAACATCTGACTAACGAATCCACCTGCTTTGGTAAGGCAAAGTTTTCACCTGTAGAAAAACGGATTATCACAGTGCAGAGTACTTTATGTTTGATCTGATCAACAAGGTGCGTTCACAGAAATGTCAGTGTTTGGACGTGTCTCCAGACGACGACACAGTTATTAACTGTTTATTTTGTTGCTGCAGTGAAAACCAACCCTCCAGCTGTACGAGCCATTTCAGAGTCTGTTTTTCCCACATCGCTTCTCGTGAGCTGGACTAGTCCTATTGATGAAGTGTATATAAAACTGAAATATCAAATCAGATTCTGCCCAAGCGGATCTCAAATTTGGAGTTATGTAAGTATGTTCAAGGTGTGTTTTAACAATGGCTCCTCGTTTAGTCTTATGCTAAATTAAAAAGTATCAAGTAAATCACAACAAGTGCCTGGTTAATATAAAATAATAAAACAAATCAGTTTTCTTTATAGAGAATTCTTGAGACCATTTATTACCTCACTTGGATAGTTTTAAGAATAAATTAGACAAAACATTTATTTTCAGATGAAGTTCATCAATTTGTTAATGATTCGTTATGTCTCACACATGATGGACCCATAAGCCTTTACTGATGTACTGGTTTATATTTGTACTAACCATACACCAGTAAAACATTAATTATTTTATTTTGAAAAAGACAGTGCTGGTACTATATATGGGAAACAGAGATGTAAAGTTATTGCTGTCTTGATTTTTATTTGGTTCTTTGAACCACATGTTGCCTTTGGTTGGTACCTACAAACAATTTGACCAAAGTGTCAATATGGTTCTGAACATAGAAAAAAATAAAGGAACTAGGGGAAATAACATAAATATA